TTGCTTTTTTGACGCCAAGGAACTAAGACTTGCGCACATTTATTACAGTTATAAAGCACTGGAAGACGTCTTGCTCGGCAAATGTAATAACGCGGCCAGAGTTGGAATCTTTCGGGTGTGAAGACAATCTTTCTCCAATTTCACTGAGAGCAGATGATTAACCAATAAATAAGCGACAATATAGTTTTGAGTATTTTGGGACATCGGTATGCACTGCAAAAATCTATTGCGTTTACCCGTTTATTGCAGGAAGAGCGGAGAGCACGCACATGATAGAAGGCACCTCTCGCATGCGTGTAAAAAGAGTTTCGTAGGCAAGGACTGTGTTGCTAGCGGGAGCTTGTGCCGTCGATTTGAGTATGAATTGAGAACGCGCCCGCAAGTCTCGTAATCCTTAGCGTACTCTCTACTAAAACGTTTTAGTATTTTGAACGAGGTGCATTCGCAAACTCGACATTACTCAAGTTAAGCAAATAAAAGAAACCAGAACTCGTGCAAAACCAGGATTTTTCGGTAATTTTCTTAGCATTACCGATTGTTTTACCAACGCAGCAGCTTGGTTTACCTCGTACACATTTTATAAACGTCGAATACTACCTGCAACTGCGCACACGCGCTCGGTAGAATATGCCACGTCTGCCATTTTAGCATATAACATATGCATGCATATAACTACCCATCAAATTCTCACTTGTGTCCCCTCAGTTAAAATTGAAAAAAAAAATAAAATAGCACGTGCTCGGTTGCCCTGCCAGCGCGTTTCTCATTAATTCCTTCTGTTAACATGGCACTTTTTCATTTTTGCTCCTGTTTTGAGATATTGTTTATACTTTCTCAAACGCAGGGTACCCGTATGAATTCACTTGCAAAGCGTATAAGCTTTGCCGCATACCCGCGGGCGTACATTACTGCGTGAGTTACAAATGAAGAGAGAGATATCCTTTAGCAAAACCTTCAAATGACAAGAACAATTTTTTTTGTCAGTAAATGATGTTTCATTAATCACAGAACACAAATCACATAAAGGGAAGAAAATAAGAAAATATGGTTATTGCTGCAAGGCAAAATTTTGAACATTTATCACCATCTAGAGAAGTCGCCTTTAAAAAAAAAAAAAAAAAAAAAAAAAACTTGCGTGTTCAACTGCAAAGACATCCGTAACAAAATAGCTACTTCATATTTCTCAGCATACACAAAAAAAAAAATTCCAAGCACAACAAAACAACATTTTTTGTCCAGGATGTCGTCACAGATAATACTGCTTTGCTGTGGCTGACTATCCAAAACAACCTTTTTATTGATCGCACAAATGAATACAAAAACAGCGGTACATGACGTGTTGAGCTGAAAACTTTGATGAATTAAAGTAAAACCAGGCCACACAACTAGCATGATTTGTAGAAAAGAAAATGCAAGTACGTCTTATTGATAGCAACCCCAGCCATGTATACTATGCTCTAAAGCCTATGCTGCAAGCTTTAATAAAAGAAACGCAGCAAAATTAACAGTTTATAATAAATAAAATATATGACTTACCATGAAACATTTTCTATGTCCTATTAACACTACAACCCTCTTTATTTTAGGGCCACCCCAGTCTCTCACGCATCGCTCTCAACTCAGCCGACTCAGTGCAAGCGAGCTAAGGGCGAGCGAGTCAGTTTCTCATCAAAGACGTGTTAAAGTTGTTCGTGCTGATAATTCAGTTCCATGTTTTTCTCGTCTCGTGATCGTATTAGGCGATCTTCATCGGCGAGACTCAAAGAGACATGGGATGCGATCCCGAGTGTTACAATGACTTACCTCGCCAAGTCTCCCTCGGAGGCAGTCGAAAAGTTTCCGACCAATCCAGTTGAGCCCATTGTCTTCGTCGCTAAATATTTTCTCTTTCCGTCGGGACGGCGAAAAAGCTTGTTCCCTATCACCAATGCTTGTTTGTACAATCCACTGCTCAGCATGATGGCATCGCGTTGCCGCCAAAATCGTGGAAAAAAAAAAACTTCGTCCGAGCCGCAAGCAACTGAGCCACCGATGCACCTCGACCAATGATGGCGTTGGTTTCTAGCAGACCGCCGAATCGCGCTGGATCAGGGGAAGGCAAGGGTCACACGTTGCGCACCTTCGAATTGAAGCGAGGGGAAAGAGAACATTTGAGAAGAAAATGGCTTGGGGAAGGATACATTTCTTTTCCCCATTTCAGCCAATGGTTTGCTCTACCTTTCAGTATATAGAACCTTAGGCGAAAGGTGATCGCAGCGTCCTTGGATAGCTAGGAGTCTCCGCTAGCAGTCGAATTCTCCACAACGCATTCGTTTTGCCTTTATCAGTGCCGGGTGACCAATCGAAAAAAAATTGTCGCGGGTATTCGCTACTTTGAATGCTAGAACATAGGTGTCACTTCACAAGTGAAGGACGTTTTCTTCTCGTGGGAATGATGATAGAGATCCCAGGGGCAATTTTGGGGCTCTCCTGAAGAAAATACACTATTACAACTTATGTAAGACAGGAAAACCACGAATGCATCTTCTCGCTGTTTTTTTTTTTTTTTTTTTTTAAAGGGCAATGTGCAAATATTTCAGAATATGGCAGCGTTCCGACTTCACTGTTCTCATGAATTAATAAGTTTTGTAGTTGCGATTCCCATTTCTTATGAATGTCTTGCTTTAAACCGTTCTGTCGAATAGGCGACCTTGCTAATCCCGTTAAGATCGTCTCTGGATGAAGACGCAAAAGCCCATTTCAAACCACGTGTGTTACGCGATGTCAGTATGCTTTGGCCGAAGTCGATTGTGCACATGCAAATCTGACGCTGTTACTGAAATTCATAGAAGAGGTTACAAAAAAAATCACACTTCTTGCGCGTGCAAAGGAAAGAAGAGGAGGGCGTCGCGGCACACATAAAGCTGATTTCGGTCACGTTATACACCGGTGCAGGAATTCCGATTGCTAGCGACGGGGGGGAGGGGGGTAACGGGGGCGGGGCGCCAGCTCCCGCGGTTGTCGCCGCGTGGGAAGTCAACCTCCACCTGGTTCTGGTGCGCCCTGCCAGCTCAATAGCTGCAACGGAGGCTATGACGAACTCTCAACCCTTCACCAGGGGGAAGGAGCCCTAGCTATAGAACTCCTCTCAAAAATGGAGGGCAGTCGCGTCCCCTAGCAATGAGAATTAGGGCTTTTTCCAAGGGGTGCCCTTTTGGTATGATAATGGTGACAACATGGTGGTGCCCCCACGAGGAAGAGTGGCAGAGCCAGCTCTTCCAATATTCACCGTGGGGACATGAAATATCACTGCGGCGGGACCGCCTGGTCCAGTTGTGGTTGCCTTGTGGTCTAGTCGACCCACTGTGCTACATACTCAAGCCCTCTTCATCCCGGATGGGGTCGGACGGGGCCGAGGTCTCGGGGTCCTCGGCCCACCGGGTCCTTCCTGGGTCGTTCGCTTGGCGGCGCCCAGCTTTATTTTTACACAGTTAGTCCCCATTTGGCTTTTTCCTGAAAATTCACACTACATTTCATTTAATTTGATTTATTTAACCCTTAAATGCCCACAGGGGGCTTTACATAGGGGGGGGGGGGGGGGGCAAATTTAAACACTCAAAATAACACACACAAAAAAAGGACTAGTATGTTTATGAACACATGCAATCAGGACGCTAGGTGCTGACTAGAGAGGAAATGGCAGATCTGAAGTTATTACATTCTGTGATACTCACAATAGGTTCCGGGAGGTTGTTCCAGTCAGTAATAGCCAATTGTAAGGGAGAACATTTGAATTTGAATAGGTTTGTCCTAGGCGTAGTCAGTTGAATTTTGAGTGTGTGGTCAGTGCGGGGGAGATGTGGGTGGCCGGAGGGCAGTATTCATCTTTTTTTTGAGGGAAAATTATAATATATTTTGTGCAGGTGGGTAAGACGCAATACGTTTCTTCTGTATTTTAAAAGAGGGAGATTTAATTTTGCTTCCTTTTTGGTAACACTTGTAGGCTGATAATTGTGGAGAATGAAACGTGTAGCCCGGTTCTGCACAGCTTCCAATTTTTCCTCCAGATACAACTGATGGGGGTTTCAGACAATGGATGCATACTCGAGTTGAGGACGGATGAGAGAATTGTATGCGATGAGCTTGTTTCTTGCGCTGCCTTATAGAGATGGCGCTTTAAAAATCCCAAACTTCTGTTTGCTTTCGCAGGATGTAGTTTATATGAGGCTCCCATTATAAATTATGGTTAAAGTTGATGCCAATATACTTGTAGGATGTTAAGGCTTCAATTGGTACGGTAGAAAGTGAATAGTCAATCTGAGTAATGTTTTTTTTTTTGTAGTAAAATTAATAAATTTTGTTTCGTCAACATTGATCTCCATTTGCCACTCTCGACACCATGGTTGAATTTGCAACAAGTCATTTTGCAAGAGGGTAAAGTCGGTTGCACTCATTATTTTTCTATAAATCACGCAGTCGTCCGCATATAATCTAATAGTGAAATTCAGAAGCTCCGGCAGATAATTTTTGTAAATTAGAAACAACAATGGACCCAGCACGATTCCCTGCAGTACTCCAGATTTAACAAGCTTTTGTGACGAGCATTTGCCTATAACAACGTTATGAGTTCTGTTTGAAAGGAAATTTTCAATCCAGTTTATAACGGACGTTTCTACTTTAAGTGCTTTTAATTTTTGGATAAGACGGCAATGTGGGACTTTATCGAACGCCTTTTTAAAATCAATGAAGATAGCATGAGTTTCATGTTGTTTATGTAGGTTACGGTGGATGTCCGTTAAAAATTCAAAAAGCTGAGATTCACAGGAGTGCGACCGCCGGAAACCGTGCTGGTTTGTAAAGAGTATATTGTTTACACATAAATAATTTAGTGCATTTGAATAAACGACATGTTCTATCAATTTACTTACAACAGAGGTTAGAGATATGGGTCTAAAATTGGTAGGGTCATCTTTTGCGCCATGTTTAAAAATCGGGAGAACCATTGCAGATTTCCAGTCAGCCGGAACAACAACGAAGTCAAGGGATTTTTGAAATATGCGGGAAAAGAGTACACTAGATATGTCACTTGTAATCTATAGCAACTTTGTAGTTATAAGGTCAGGACCGGGAGCCGAGTTAGATGGTAGATTTGATATTCATTTTGAAATTCCGTCATTTGTCACAATGATCTCATCCATTTGGGTGGTTATAAGATATTCTGGGCAGTAAGAGGGTAATGGAAAAAATTCTTCAGTGAACACTTCACTAAAGAAAGTGCAAAACAGCTCACAAGTCTTTGCGGTTTGTAAACTTTTTCCAGAGGCGTCAATAAAGCTGACCGAGTCCTTTACCTGCTTTGGATTCACAGCGGACCAAAACTTTTTGGGGTTTGTTTTCAGTATATTCCAAAGATCATAATTAAAGAACTTATCTTTCGCTTTTTTTATTTTATATTTGCAAGTTAAATAACACTCCTTCTATTTTAACCAGGAAATAGCAGCCTGAGACGCCTTTGCGGCACGAAAAAGCCTATTATTTTTATTTACCAACCTCTTCAAACCTGTTGCAAACCACGGGTTCGAAAACGACGTGTGAATGGTTAGTTTCGGAATCCATTTGTCACACAACTCACGCAATTTACACTTAGAAAAAGCCAGTTTTCATTCAGAGACCTAGAGTCAAATTCATCTAAAAACCAAGCTGAAGATAGCGAAAAGTGTTGGTTAAAAGCGCCGAGGTTTGCCCTAGCGTAACTCGAAATAGCTTTTGCCCGAAGAGATTGCTCACATGATTGAATGAAAAGTTCAACATTAATCGATATGTGATCACTTATTGGTTCCATATACACAGTATTTGCAACTAGATCGGGTTTTAAAATAAAAAAAGGTCAAGCATCGCGTCACCACGACTGGGTTTAATAACAATTTGAGAAAGTGCAAAAGAGTATATAACGTCAACAAAATCGCGAGACTGTTTTGAAAGGTTCTGCCACGATTACCCCTTAATTTTAGGGTAATTGAAACCGCCAGAAATAACAAGCACATCATTTGGGTATAAACGAATAAGAGACTCCAGAAAATCATGAAGTAGCGGAGCAAAATCCATAACACTTGGGGGCTTAAAACAAGCCTCTACAATGATGAACATGGTAGGCATTTTTAATCTAACCCAAACGGCTTCAAAGGTTCGAACAGTATCAGAACGATCAATGCGCTATGTCTTTTTGACTGCAACAAGTACACCTCCTCCCTTTCGGCCTGCTCTGTCATCACAAAAAAAATAAAATGTGAGGGGTGTATGGTCAGTTCCGAGTTCGAGATATCATCTGTGAGCCAAGTTTCTGTTCAAATGATAACGTCGGCTGAGCATGACTGGACAGCCGAAAGAAGGTCGTCCTGCTTTGCATAAAAACTTCCAGTGTTGGCGACAAAAAAATTTAGATTTGAAACGGGGCGAGAGCAGCTTTCGGGGGAGGAGGAACGCGGTTGGTGACCGTGGGATTGGTACGCAGGTAGTGCTTTCACTGAGTTAGATTGTTAATCGTAAATGTACTTTAAATTTCCGATTCTCAACTTGTCATGCCGAAGCTTAAAATCTTGCCCCTCAGATTTTGCAAACGTCACAAGTTCTTTTCTTGCATTACGGACATCGATTGAATAATCATCACTTAACCGGAAACTAGTTCCCTTTAGTTTAAACACCCTTGACAAGATGAGCTGTTTTTCTTTGTAGGAGTTGAATTTTACAATGATAGGCCTCGGAGACGCCCGGTTTGCACGAAAAGAGCCAAGCCTGTGAGCACGCTCGATAGCAGCAGGGAGAATAGTGACGCCGAGCATTTCGTTGCAAAAGGCAATCACGCTTTCCTCAGATTTCGCCCATGTTTCACCGCGAACGTCAGGAAGGTTGATCGTACGATCCAATTAATTTTTATTAAATTTGCTTTAAGTCTGCAGTGCCTCTGGTGGGACCGGACGCAGGGGGAAGTAATTTTACAATTTTTTACAAGGAGCCCCGACCCCAAAAATATGTTAGCGACGGGACGACTAACGTCTTCAGCGCCTTCTACGATAAAGGCCGACACACGTTGGACCGTCTTGCAACTCCTTCTATTTTTCAAAATCCACTATCTTTTTAGGAATCACGCGACGCTACACCGGCTCTGTCTCTCTTCCTCCTGCTTTTACGTGGTTGTTTATTTTTTGCTTCTAGAGCGGAGCAAGGCCCGACCACACTAGCGTGAACGGCGCCGCCGGGCGGCGCCGCCAGGCGGCACCGCCCCCCGGCGTCCCAACGCGAGGAGTCCACATTGGCCTCCGTTTTGCAGGCGTCACGTGACAGCACTGAATCCTGCGATCGCGCCTCCCGTCGGATTTCCCGCTCTTTCGTCGTCTGCTCTTCGTTAGGTTCTTCCGTTCCGCACTCGCTGTCTAGACGGTAGGAGTTCATAATGACCTGGTGATCAGCGTGAATGTGATTATCCTAGCCTGCTCGCTGATCTTGCGACGTCGCCGCGCTCTGAAGGGAAGGAGGCGCAGGTTTAGGGTCCGGCCGAGTTGGTTCTACCGAAACACCGAAGGACAGGACAGGTCTGGCGCGCCGCCGGGGCTTTGCTGCCCCGGAGGCGCGCCAGAGATGAAGGCAACTCTCGAAAGTGTCACCAAAGCAACACGACACCCGTCACAACAGAGACGACATGTAACAAGTGCCACGGAGAAACTCACTTGTAATTCCGAATTCCTCTCCTATAATTTCCCAGCTGTTAGTTTCAAGGAACCGCTCCGTTGGGGAAGGCATCGGGGGGAAATAGGGGGAGCAGACTTTGGTGGCAGCGGCGGAGCGCATCACCCAAGGCCTTTCTGAGCATTCTTCTGTATTTCACAGGATTGAACCGCCGGTCTTGAGCTGTTCGGCCCGACCGTCGACAGGACTTCGGAGAGTGTGCCGCTGTCCCGAGGATTGACCTGCCCGTCTTGTGCTGTTCGGCCCGACTGTCCTCAGTACCTCGGAGATCCGTTCAGGATTGTAAATTTCGAGCCAATTTAAGTCCGCCAATCAGCGTGTACCGCCACTATCGCTCAAGATCAACGACATCGCTGGAGCGAGGGGCGTTTTCACTCACTTTGGTGGCAGCGGCGGAGCGCATCACCCACGGCCTTTCTGAGCATTCTTCTGTATTTCACAGGATTGAACCGCCGGTCTTGAGCTGTTCGGCCCGACCGTCGACAGCACTTCGGAGAGTGTGCCGCTGTCCCGAGGATTGACCTGCCCGTCTTGTGCTGTTCGGCCCGACTGTCCTCAGTACATCGGAGATCCGTTCAGGATTTTAAATTTCGAGCCAATTTAAGTCCGCCAATCAGCGTGTACCGCCACTATCGCTCAAGATCAACGACATCGCTGGAGCGAGGGGCGTTTTCACTCACTTTGGTGGCAGCGGCGGAGCGCATCACCCACGGCCTTTCTGAGCATTCTTCTGTATTTCACAGGTTGGTCACTTTCCTGTTTTAGATCCCCCTTGTAGTTAGCTCTGCTGCTGCTACCAAAGTTGTAACTGTTACGTTGCTGCTTGAGATGACCCGTTGCTATGCCTGTCGAATTGTGTTGCGGGACGACTCTCAGGTCCTTAACTGTGCTGAGTGTGAGTTTGCTTTTCATGTCGGAACTTGCTCTGGGGTAACTGATGCTGTCTTTAAAACAAAACGCGAGTCCTTCAAAAAGAACTGGAAGTGCGAGTCATGTCGGTGTGAGGTTGGTAAGAGCGCTACTGCTGGCCAGGGTCAGAGAGCTGAGGGTGACATGCTCAGGAGGCTGGTGGAGATTGACAGAAAGCTGAGTTTGCTTATTGAGCTGCCGGCCAAAGTCGATGGCCTTGAACGGTCTGTTCAATTTCTCTCAGATCAATTCGAATCCATACAGCGTCGCCTCGAAAATCACGACCAAGAAATTAAAGATGTCAAGCATAGAGTCGAAAAAATTGAAAAATCCGGCGGACCTCAGGCCCTTGCCCAGCTGCAGCTGGACGTTGATGCACTCGAGTGGCGTAGTAGGCGGCTTAACATTGAGATTCATGGGATCCCTGACACCGACGGCGAAGACCTTTTGAGTAAGGTGAACGACTTAGCAGTGAGACTAGAAGTTAGTACTTTGGCCGGGGAAGACGTCTCCGCTGTTCACAGGCTTCCAGCTAGGCCCGGAAGGACACGTGGAATCATCGTGCGTTTCGCGCGTCAGGAGCTGCGGGATACGTGGCTGGCCAAAAGGGGAGTCCTGAGAAACAGCGAGGATAGGGTTTTCATCTGTGAAAATATGACCTCCCGCTCTAGGGGACTTCTCTCAGCTGCCAAAGAATGGCTCAAACAATCAGGCTATAAATACGCATGGCATGCGAATGGAAAAATCCTCGTGCGTAGAGCGACTGGCGATTCGGCAACAATTATAAAATGCGAGGATGACCTACGTGTCCTGCGGTAGATAGTCAGTCACCTCAAGCTGTCTTTCCTTTTTATTTTTTTTTACATTTTATGATTCAGTTGGGCCATACTACTAAAGAAGAATGGTTTGCGTCTCTCGGATTACGGAGAGACAGACTGAGTTGTCTGCATATGAATGTGCAGTCTGTAAATAGCAAGTTAACAGAACTTGAAAGTTTCTTTGCTGATGCCGATAAGCATTGGGATGTTATTATGTTGACTGAAACATGGTATTCAAACGATGTTGCCATCTTTCAGTTGCCTCAAAAAAGAACATACTATCTTAATAGAACTTCACGACGTGGGGGTGGGGTTTCACTGCTCATAAATGATTCAATGTCATGTGAATTGCTGAAAGAGTTTTCTGCTTCAACCGACGATTATGAAGTGTTGTGTGCCGAGACAAGGGATATAATTTTTGCGGTGTGCTATCGGCCACCAGATGGTGCTTTGAATGTTTTTCTTTCATTCCTAGAAAATATGTTGGCCTGTGCAAGTTACCGCAGACAAAACGTCATAATAGGTGGTGATTTTAATATCGATATGAATTCTGATAGCGCGAGGAAAAAAGATTTTGAGAGGGTGTTCCTTTCGAATGGGTGTACGAATGCTATTGAGTCATTTACAAGGATTACTGAAACGACGCAAACAACTCTTGATCTTTTCTTAACAAGCTATGATCCATCGTGTATGATTAGTGGAGTTTTGAGTTGTCCAATTAGTGACCATATGCCTGTTTGTTTGTCAGTTCGAACAACCCCCCTCGAAAAGGAAAAATCTAATACTAACGTAACATTGCAGCTTATTAACGAAAAGACCTTAAGCGAGTTTCAGAAAGAGCTTAAGGATACGTGCTGGGACGAAGTTTTTCAACAAGGAGATGCCAATATAGCTTATAATATTTTCCTCGGCATATTTGTTGCAGCATATAAGAAGCACTTTATCAATAAGGAGCGCAAATTCAATAAGAAATTTCGGAAACCTTGGTTAACAAAAGAGCTCTTACGGAAAATTAAGAAGCGGGAGAGGCTTTATCTAACATTTATTAAGAAAAGGATCCCTTCAGACTTGGAAACGTTTAAGGTCTATCGTAATAAACTAACTAAAGAGTTAAGGAATGCCAAGGAAGCTTACTACATAAACCTCTTTTCTAGCTGTGCAGGGGACACAGATAAGCTATGGAGCAAGCTAAGTGTAGTCATGAAACGAAAACAGAATGTTGAAACTATAGAAAGAATTTCTCTCAATGGACGCGTACTGACAGGAGTTGAACTAGTGAATGCGTTTAACCATTATTTTGTCCATAGAGAACCTGAACTGTGTTCAAATGAGTCTTGTAGTTACTCCCTGTCCGGAAACGAAAGCAGTATTTTTTTACATGCAACCGACAGTGTAGAGGTATGTTCAACCTTTCTTGGACTCAAGAACTCTTGCAGCCGTGATGCTGACGGTATTCAGATAAGACCTGTCAAGTACGTAATTAATGAAATCGTCCATGTCTTGGTTCATATATACAACTTATGTATTTCCACAGGAACCTTTCCAGACAAAATGAAAGTTGCCAAAGTTACAGCACTATATAAAAAAGGTGATAGGTTAGACATAAAGAACTATCGCCCAATTTCTATCCTTCCAATTTTCTCGAAATGCTTAGAAAAAGTTATTTTAAATCAAATATCGTCATTTTGTGCAAAATATCAGCTAATAACTAAAGCTCAGTATGGATTCCAAAAAAATAAGTCTGTGGAGCTGGCTCTTCTTGAGCAAAAAGAATATATTTTACAAAACTTCGAGCAGAAGCTTCTGACTTTGGGCATTTTTGTTGATTTTACCCAGGCCTTTGATCATATCGATCACAATATTCTAGTTAAAAAGCTTGAGCGGTATGGCATAAGGGGTCTACCACTTGAGTTCATAAAATCCTATCTCGGCAGAAGGCGACAATTCGTTTTTCTGAATGGCTT